GCATAATGTTTCCCAGGTTCATTTGTGTTGTAGCATGTATCAGAATTCCTTCCTTTTTGAGGCTGAATAACACTCTGTTGCTTGGATGAACCACATTTTGTCTATCTTTTCCTCCACTGGTGGACACTCAGGTGCCTTCCACTTCTTGGCTATTGTGAATAATGCTATCGTGAACATGTGTAAGCTAATATCTGAGTCCCTGCTTTCAGTTCCTTTGGGTTCATTTCTAGAAGTAGAATTTCTGGATCATATATTAACACTGTTTAACTTTTTGAGGAACTGCCTATTTTTCTCAGTGGCTGAACCATTTTACACTTTCACCAACAATGTAAAAGGGTTTCATTTTCTCCACATCCTTGCTGTGGAAAGTAAAAATGATCCTCTTCAAAGTTTCCTTTCTTGTTAAAGAATAAATCATAAGTGTGCTAATAACTCTTTGTTAAGCCCTATCCTATGTAGCTGTTAGACTTGCTTATAGGCACGTAGTATATTCTATGTCCTTGTACTTTAACCGAGATATCTGTGCTGCACGTGCTCACAGGCATGTCCCAGCTTGCAGCCCCTTACCTGTTTAAAAAGGTGTTAAGCTATTAGCCAATCGGGTTTTTAGTTTAGATTGTGAAGTCTGGCTCTGACCAATAGAGATCAGACACAGCAGTAAGGACAACCCCAAACGAGTAAAGGATAAATATGTCTGCTTTTCCTTTGTTTGTTCTACTCTCATGGCAAGATGGCTGGCGAGGGTACCCTTCCTGCAGGAAGTAAAAAGTGCTTTGCTGAGAGATCCTTTGTCTCAGTGCTGAGTTTTCTTTGCAGCACCAAGCATCTGTTTCTAACACTCGCCAACACCTGTTATTTTTTTACATTTTTGGATAGTAGCCATCCTAATGGGTGTGAGATGATATCTCATTTTGGTTTTGATTTGCATTCCCTTAATGACTAATGATGTTGAGTATCTTTCCTCCTGCTTGTAGGTCATCTGCATATCTGCTTTTGAGAATTATCTAATCAAGTCCTTTGCCCATTTTTGAATTTGGTTGTTTGCTTTTTGTTGTCGAGTGTTAGGAGTTCATTCTATATTCTTGACATCGGTCCTTTGTCAAAGATTTCTAAACGTGAGCTAATTTCAGATAAAAGTCTGGATCTCTCAAGCTTGGAGGAGGCGGGGAAAGAACAGCCCTTGACCGACAGGGCCTGGTGGTTGCTTTAGGCCGTGGGGTTGGAATAATGCCCAGCTGCTGAGCCAGCCCCTCAGAAGCAGGTCATGGTCAACAATCAAACACATAGATTGATTTTTGGAGGACAAGATCCTTATTGCCCACCCTGTCACCAAGCAAGCTGTACCAGGAACACAGGCCACCTTCTTCCTGCTGTGGGCTGGAGGCTGGTACAGCTGCTCCAGGAAATGCTAAAAATTCACTAAAATTTCCCAGCCTCCTCATCAAGGTCTTCCCTGCAAGCTGTAAGCATTTCACTAAACTCCAGAGATTCCGAATAGTTGCTTCTGATAATTCATGCCAGCAAAATTGTTTAAGGGTAGGGATTTCTAGAGCTTCCTACTCTGCCATGATGTCACCCCCATTGTCAATGAGTTGCTTGCTCCATTTCCCTTATGAGCTGTTCATTGCTGGAGCACAGAGACAAACTGGTTTTTCTGTGTTAGTCTTGTAACCTGCAACTTTGCTGAGTTCATTCATTTGCTCTAGTACTTTCTTGTGGATTCTTTTGGATTTTCTATATAGAGAATTGTGTCATCTGTGAATAGTTTTACTTCCTCCTTTTCAATCTGGATCTTTTACTTCTTTTTTTTCTTTTCCTTGCCTAATTACCCTGGCTAGAACTTCTAGTGCAGTGTTGAACCACAGTGGTGAAGGAGGGCATCATTGTTTTGCTCCTGATGTTAGAGGGAGAGCTTGCAGGCTAACAGGTTTTGACTGAGGCCTATGATGTGCCGGGCTCTGGGGGGACAAATGCCCTTGCTGCATGGGAGCAAGACAATAAGCAACACAAGTGAGGAAAGGTTGAGGCCAGAGGGTAGAATGTGCCACTGAGAAAATGAAACAGGGAACAGCAATGAGGGATGTAGGGCAGGCGGGGCACTTCATTTTACCTTGTTTAGGGGAGGCTCACAGGAGCTCACTCAAATGTGGAGCTGACATTTGAGTGAGCACCTGTGGGTGGTGAGGGAGGGCGCCCCAGGGAAATCCGGGAGAAGAACATTCCCTGTGGAGGACACAGCAGTGCCAACACACTGAGTGGGAGTGAGCCAGGTCTGGCCTGGCCAGGGCTGCAGGAATGAATGTAGCCAGTGAAGGGGAGAGCTGTTTGCTATACTCTCCTAAATGCTCAGATCACAGGTGCTTCAGTCTCATTGGCCTCTGTGCCCCAGCCCAGCACAGTGCCTGACACACGGTAAGTGCTCCATAAATATCAGTGAAATGATCGTGGGTCCCTGAGTGGCCTGATGTGGGCTGCATGTGTGGATGGCGCACTCTGCCCATGAGGCCACCAGGCTGGGCTTTAGATGGCCCAAGATGAAGGCTAGATTACTGAAGACCATGTTTTTCCACATTGCCAAATGAAACTCCTGCCTCCAGCCCTTCCCATCCCTCATAGCCAGAACTGGCAGGGGGAAGGCCTGGCCATCTGTGAGTTTAGCAACCCCATGCCCTTTCTGGATGCTCCCAGTGCAGGGGATCTGGACCTGAGAGGCAGCAGCGAAAACCTGGAGTGCATCATGGCCTGATATGTGCACGGCTCCTTCAGCAGGGGCAAGCCTCTCCCAACCTGCTCCTCCTGGAGTCTTATACCCAGAGCCTGGTGTCTTGGGAAATATATTTGGCTGCTCAAGGAACAAGCCCCTCACACCTCCAGTAAGCCTCAGGCAGGGTTTTGGCCCAGAGGGACCAGCTACAGGCCCCTCTCCTGGAACTGCACTGGCCTAGGTGCTGATGGTATGGGGCCAGAGCTCTGGGTGCTCCTGCAGCCCCCACCCCTGCCCGCCCTAATGGGGAGGCCTGTGGTCCACTCTGGCTTTCCTGACTCTTCAGCCAGGCCAAGGTTTCTATCAGGTGCCCTCTGTCCTCCACTTCAGGGAAGAGGCCTTGCTCAAGGTCTCGAGGGAGGCTGTGGTTAAACCAGCCCCTCTGCTGAGGCTTAGCGAACAGCATCCTCATCACAAAAGTCATAAAGCTAGACACTGGGCAGTCTACCTCTTAAATGCTTCCCGTCATCTGGGCAGAGCCCAGTAGTACTCCTGGGCCACAGGCCCTACCCAATGGGTCCATGCTGGCCTCCTGTCTCTCCCTGAAACATGCCACACTCACTCCTACCTCAGGGCCTTTGGACGTGGCTGGCAGCTTAGAATGCCCTTTCCCTACTTGGCCTCCACGCCCCTGCCCTGGGCCCTCTGGCTGAGGCTGGGGTCTTATATGTACTTGGTTCAGCAACCCCAAACCTCTCACTCCAGGTGGCTCATTGTCATCCTGGTCCCTACCTTTGTCCCAGCTCCTGAAACTAACCCCAGGACACAGGGAGCAGCAGTACTCCTGACTGGAGCCTCTGGACAGGCCCCTTGCCCACCTTGCCCATGCCAACCTCCCTGACCCGTCTGACTCTGAGCCCCCTGGCCCTGGCTGTGGATCCCAGCTCTGCCTGTCTGGCCTGGTTTTCTCACAAATGCACAGGCCCTCAACCAATCTCAAGGGACTACCAAGCCATAGGGTCATAGGGTCCCCCAACTAGGCACTCCCTTCATACCAATAAACAAATCAATATAGTTTATCTGTCCTTCAACTGTCCTGCAGTAGCATAATTATCTGCTTTGTTTTATGGGCATATTGAGAGTAATTTGTTATCTATAAACATTTCAAAAATATCTTTTTTTTCTTTCTTTCTTTTTTTTTTTTTTTTTTTGAGACAGAGTCTCACTCTGTTGCCCAGGCTGGAATGCAATGGTGTGACCTCAGCTCACTGCAATCTCCGCCTCCTGGGTTCAAGCGATTCTCCTACCTCAGCCTCCCAATTATATGGGATTACAGGCACCCACCACCACAGCTGGCTAATTTTTGTATTTTTAGTAGAGATGGGGTTTCACCATATTAGCCAGGCTGGTCTCGAACTCCTGACCTCAGATGATCTGCCCGACTCATCCTCCCAAAGTGCTGAGATTACAGACATGAATCTGTCCAAAACTATCTTTCAGGGCCCAGATGGGTCTGGGCAGCCTCCCTCAGCACTGCCCTGTGTGAGATCCTGGTGGATGCATGCAATTCCACTAGGGCGGGCATGTTTCACCCAGGGCTTAGTGCCAGCTAGCCACCTCCTTGGGGCCCCCTTGGCATTTGTAGTCAGAGGGGTGCTGGAGAGAAGCTCACCTTCATGGTAACACCTTGCTCATGGTCTGTTGTGTGTTGAATTGCGTCATCCCAATTCATATGTCTAAGTCCCAACCCCTACTGTCTTAGAATGTGACCTTGTTTGGAAATAAGGTCTTTGCAGCTGTAATTCACTAAGCTGAGGCCATTCTGGAGTGGGGTGGGCCTCCAGTCCAACGTGATGGGGTCCCTGTGAAACGGGGAAAGTTGGACACAGACACACAGGCAGAATACCATGTGGGCAGGAAGACTGGGATGAGAGTGACGCTTCCACAAGCCAAGGAGAACCGAGGATTGCCTGCAAGGCACCGGAAGCCAGGAGAGAGTCCTGGAATGGGCTCACCCTCAGAGCTTTCGGAGGGACCCAGCCTTATGGAAACCTTGGTCTCAGACATCCAGCCCCCAGAGCTTGAGAAAACAAATGTATGTGGCTCCAGCCCTCCAGTCTGGTGCTTTGTTACAGCAGCCGCAGGGACAATGTTACACATTGTCTCAAGGGAAGAGGGCAGATCTGTGACTCCTGCCTAGTGATTGGCTTAGAGCCACCTTAACCAATGAGGGAGCTGGACAAGCTCCAAGGCTGCCTCTGACCTTTGAGAGCACCCACCCTGGCCCAGCACTTACTGTCATTGGTCATGTTCTTGGAGACCATAGTGGATGGTATCTCAGACATCCTAGCTGAGGCCCAAGGGATTGATGCAAGGCTCCTCCTCTTCTAAAGGATATCCTCACCTGAGGAGTGACACAGAGCTTGAGCCAGGTGATCCCCAAGCCCAGAGCTCCCTTGCCCTGCATGGCTGACACCAGCATTTTCGAGGGCTCATTGTGTGGGGACACCTGCCTGCTCCCTGCCTCTTCCACCCGAGGGTCCACTCTCCCCTCCTGGACCTGGCTCTAGCAGCTACTTCTTCTGTTTCTTATAACACATCGATCTTGACCTTAAGCCTTTCCATTTTTGGCCTCCTCAGCCAAAATATATTCTCCCATACCCAGCTGGGGATGGTGGGCTCCCTTCTCTTCAATTCTGAACTCAAATGTCAATCTCTTTAGAGAGACCTCTCACCACCCCATCCAAAGTGATTTCTTCCTCCCCACCCCTGTGTGACCTTTATTTTCTTCTCTGCAATTCCCACTAACTGATTATCACTTTAAAAATCTGTTCATTGTCTATTTCTCTCTAAAATGTGAGCTCCATGAGAACAGGGGTTGTTTTCTGCTCATCCAAGCTCCTGACACGCCTTTGGCACTCCTTAACTTCATTCATTTCATTTTTTTTTTTTTTTTTTTGAGACGGAGTTTCACTCGTTACCAAGGCTGGAGTGCAATGGCGCGATCTCGGCACACCACAACCTCCGCCTCCTGGGTTCAGGCAATTCTCCTGCCTCAGCCTCCTGAGTAGCTGGGATTACAGGCACGCGCCACCATGCCCAGCTAATTTTTTGCATCTTTAGTAGAAACGGGGTTTCACCATGTTGACCAGGATGGTCTCGATCTCTTGACCTCGTGATCCACCCGCCTCGGCCTCCCAAAGTGCTGGGATTACAGGCTTGAGCCACCGCGCCCGGCCCGTTCATTTCATTTTTGCAAGGGAGAAAGCAGAGATTCAGCAAGGTGCCCAAAGTCACAGTCAGGAGGGGCTGCCTCTGGAAGGGGCCCAGGGTTCCCCCACTATAGTCTTTTGCCATTCCAGCCGCATTCCTGCGACAGCCCCCTAATTGGGTGAGCCTGGGGTTCCCAGGGTCGTCTCCTAACACCCGCACTCTGCCAGCGTCCCCCAACCCCCGTGCCACACAGCAAGGTGCAAAGGGATGGTAGGACGGAGAAGTGGATGGTAAATGGGTGTGTGTCAAGCAAGTTGCATAGGAGCAGAGGGCGGGGAGCCTTGCAAGGCGCCTTACGAGGGGCGCCAGCGCCGGAGAGGTACGCTCCCAGCCATAAATCCCTACCCCCGCCCGCCCCTTCTTCCCCGGCCTCACGCGCACCCACCTGCCCCGACCGCTCAGCTCGCTCCGAAGCCTCCGCGCGGCAGTTCTCAGCTCCAGGAGCAGAGCTCTTGGGTTTTTGTCTCCAAGGCAACCATTCTTCAGGCCGGCTGTGACGCCACAAAGGCCGCTGAGGCTGGGCGCGTGGAGGCTGGGCCTGCGGGCCGCAGGACAAGGAGGGCGCGCGGCCCGGCTGCTAGGTCTGAGCTCCCGGCGCGATGCGCGACCTGATGCCGCCAGGACTGCGCCTGCCCAGGCCCGCACCTGGTGAACGCAGGTTTCTTCCTCTGAGGCTCATCACTCCGCACTTGGGCCGGCTCCTTTTTTTCATCCTGATTGGTTTATTCACCACGTCTCAAGCACTGAACAGGGCGCGCAGGGCGGATGATTTTGGGGCAAAAAAAAGGCCTTGGTTCTTTCCTGCGGAGGGATTCACACTATCTAGAGGTACGGTTCTCAAAATGTGGTCTCAAGACCAGCAGCATCAAAAATGCTGGGAACTCGTTAGAAAGGCAAGTTTACAGTCCTCGCCCTGGAATCAGAAACTTGGAGTGGAGCCCAGCAGTCTTTGTCCTGACAAGTCCACGCGCAACTCTTGTGCTGGCTAGTGTTGGAAAGCCACTGCTCTGCGGAGCAAGTGAGACCCATCATAGTGAAACAGTGACATACGAAAGGATGAGGCAGGCCATGCAGACCAGGGCAACTTTAGAGCGTCCAGATCCACCAGCTGCTTGCAGCCAGGGGAACCAAGGTGTTTGGCCCTCCAACTCAGGGATCCTGTCTTCCACAAAAAGCAGCAGCCAGAGAACACATCACTAGATTTTCCCAGTATCCATGGGGATTGAGAGGTTGACAAAGGCTGCTTGGAGCTGACAGCACTGTCAGGGGCTCATCTTTTCAGGGACATTTAGGGGTTTCTGGGGGACTCTGGAGCAGTCTGCAGCCCAGCAATGTAGTCCTAGTGAGGATTCCAGCCGTGCCAGGCTCTGCCCAAGGCCGGTGTAGTGGGTGGAAAGATCACATCCACAGCAGGAACTCCGCTGGAGGCAGGGGTGGGAATGAGGAGGAGCTCTCAAGATGGAAGGAGCAGGGATCCCTGAATCCTCACTTGTAGAATAATGTCCCAACTTGCAATATCCACAGTGGATTTTGTACAAGGGAGAAAGGAAGTTGTGTTAAACCACGTATGTGATTTGTGCATGTGCATATGTGTGCTCATGTGTGTGTGTACATGTACACATATGTGTGCTTATTACAGCTGCTAGTGTCAAATATGCTGAAAGACAAGTGACCCCATTACCCTTAGGAGAGAGGCTCCTTACACTGACATTCAAAGTCCTCAGTGACCCAGCCCCAGCCTACCTCTGCAGCTTTATCTCCCCACAATCCATCAAAGCAGAACAAAGAGCTGTGCCTCCGATTTAGGTTTCAGCAAACCACAAAAAGCGCATCATGAACTAGTGACTCAAATAGAAAAGCAAGTGTTTTTGAAATGGTTTATCTGAACACTAGGTGTTCGAATGAGGCTTTTAGGAATCTAGACAATAAGCGACCCAAAGAGAATAAGGCAACCAAGGCTCCTGCCCATTCATTGTCATCAACAGATCAGTTTATGAACTGTTGTGAATCTCCCCAGGAACCGTACAGAGCGTTTCCCATGTGCCAGGTGCTGTTCCACATGCTTGACACCAATCCACCCATTTCAACCGCATGATCACCCTGCCATTGCATGAGCTGCCCATGTGGACAGAGCAGAAACGCAGTGAGGCAGTGGATCGAGCTCTGCTCTTAGCTAGAACACACTGCCTCTCACCAGGAAATCGTCCTATCATTTTATGCAGTTATCCCAGACAATGATGCACAAGCTTTGGGAAGAAAACACAAGTCCAAAGGTGTACTTAATAACAAAGGCAAGTTCTCTAGTGCCTTTGTTTTTGCTCTTGGTAGCTTACAAGGTTAGAACGAAAACTATCTAGAAAACGTGACCTGATTTGGAACTTTTATTCTTAGCCTAACAGATCTAACTAGAAATACCATTTGCTGATGAAAAACTAATTTTTAAAAATCAGATGGGTGACTCGTGGAGTGATGGTGACCGGCTGGCTGTGTGGTGAACCGTAGTGGCCTGCAAGCTGTCCAGCCCAGGGAGTGGGCATGTGGGTGTCTGCTTCAAAATCCTTCCAACGTTTCTGTATGTTCGAAGCTTGAAAATGTTCATAATCAAACATTTTGGGGAAAGCTAACAATCTTCTTAAAGGAGAAATTTGTATTTCTGATTTCATATTTTCCCCCTCAAAGAAGATATATCAGTCTGTGCTCTTGGGAACAAACAACAGAAAGCAACTATAGCCAGTTAAAGGGGAAAAGGATTTGGAGGTGTCCCCAGACTCCATAGGACAGGAATCAGGCCGGGAGATGCTGTACACTGGAGTGGAGCTCAAAGCCACTGCAGGCGTGCTCCAGAAGAGACTGTGCTGTGATTCGAAGTCTGCTGTGTACTCTTGACTAGCGGGCAGCACCTGAATCACCTGCCTGCACCTCGTGCCTTCCACACAGAATCTCTGGCTTCTGCGGTGGGAGGAGGGACTCAGAATCCAGGGCAGGTCAGGGATTGTCCTGTACCCAGACAGGGTATTCTGAGGTCTACCACAATGACAAAGCGTGAGAGAGCAGCTTGTGTTTCCTTCCTGCAGCACCTGGTCTCACTGTCATTCTGCAGCACAGCAGGCCAGACAGGATTGTTAAGTCACCTTCCAGGTAAAATGCCTGAGATGCCCAGATCTCTCCCATGTGGGCTTTCCTCTTGCTCAAGGTGCTAGGATATGGAGAATGACCGCCACGTCTGCTGTGCTTCACGGTGAGTCCAGCGCTTTCCACGGGGAGGACAGCAATGTGAGCTCTATGCACTACTTACACTGCCCTAGGAGCCGCTGCACAAGGTGTGACCTGCAGGACTTTGTCTACCATGTTTCCGAGGAAAGCTGCAAAGTCCTTAAAGAGTGTCTGAAGCCCCATCCCCCCTCCCTCTCTGGGCACGTGTCCCCACCCATTGCCAGGTGCTCTTGCCTGGCATGCTTTTTCTATTTTGTGAGCAACCACATTAATCAGATTGCTTTCCTGCCAGCTCAGATGGACGAATAATGTGATTGAAGCCTGGGAAAAAACAGGGTTGACTTTTGGCATCCACACCCAGGCATAGCACATTTGACCTCATCCCAGAGAAACAGTTCCAGTGGAATAGAAGAGAAGGCGCTGGGCGCGGTGGCTCACGCCTGTAATCCCAACACTTTGGGAGGCCAAGGCAGGTGGATCACGAGGTCAGAAGTTCAAGACCAGCTTGGCCAAGATGGTGAAACCCATCTCTACTAAAAATACAAAAATTAGCCAGGTGTGGTGGTGTGTGCCTGTCATTTCAGTTACTCAGGAGGCTGAGGCAGAGAATTGCTTGAACCCAGGAGGTGGAAGTTGCAGTGAGCCAAGATCGCGCCGTTGCACTCCAGCCTGGGCGACAGAGTGAGACTCTGTCTTAAAAAAAAAAAAAACAAAACTTGGAGCCCAGAGTAAGAGTAAGATTGGGTGGGCTTGGGAAGGCAGCTGGGGATGGCATCATTTGGACAAGGTTAAAGGGTGAATAGGATCTAAATAGGCCCTGAGTCAGGAAATTTGAGGAGCAGGAAAGAGCATGAGCCTGAGTCCAGGGAATGTGAATGACCCAGTGGGGCCAGAGTGTAGGATGTGTGACAGCAAAGGCCATGGTGGAGGTGAGGGAGTGGCATGCATGGGGCACTGGGAAAAGGTAGGCAGGTGCCCACCCAGTCATAGAGGGAGGAATGGTTCTCCGGAGGCAATGGGTGGGGTCTTTCATTACTCCACGTGGGGGACAAGGAAGGCAAGGCCTCCAGGTTTGCTATTTGGTTGATCTTTACTTTTAGGAGGATGGATTGGAGGGCTGGAGGGGTGAAGGGCCAAGAGGCAGGCCCAGGGGCAGGGCAAGGTGTTACAGTACAGCAGCTGTTTTCCAGCAAAAGATAAAGCTGACTTAGGTTAAGGTGAATACAGTTAAAATGGAGGGAGAGAGCCTGGATAGAAGCTATGCTTAGGAGGCAGCCTGGGCAGAATGGCTGCTGGGGCTGAGGGGAGGCACCTGGATTCCAGTGGGTGAAATGCATTTCCTGGGAGGAGACCTGGCAGGAGGAAGTGTGTGCTTAGGTCTCCTTCACAGAGTGGATATGCTAGGAGGGGTGTGGCTGGCTGCCTGCCGCCAGTGGCTGCACATGAGGGAGCACTGCAGCGCATAGTCACTCAGCTCCCTGGGCACATGGGAGCAGGGCCATTCCTGCCTAACACGGGACTCTTCTAATGGGCAAGCTATGCACCAGAGCCTCCCATCACCCTGGGCAAGTTTCTCAGAGCCGCCCTGCAGCATGAGGCTTTTCCTACCCAGTCTCTCCTTTCCTCTCTTCCTTCACAGATGTCAGGCCTGCAATGTATAGGAAGCTCTCCCTCCCTCCTCCTGCTCCCCTCTCCTTTATCTAAACAGTTCTTTCTGTCGTCTGTTTCTGTCTTGGCATCTGTGTCTTGGAGGACTGGGAGAATGAGTGTGAGGGAAAAGGCCTGGGTCAGTTTCAGATGGGCTGAGTGTGGGGTTCCCTGGGACATGTCCAAGAGCAGGTGCCAACAGATGGCTGCCTTTATGGGTCTGAAAATCCAGGGAGAGAGGGTTGGTGTGCAGGCTGCAGGTAAAATCACCTTGGGGCACATTTGGAGTGAGAAGAGAGGTAGCCTGAGGAGGAAGAGGAGCTCAAAGGAGACAGGGAAAGAAGGGACAGCAAGGAGGGAAGAGCACTAAGAAGGTGGTGCTGTGCAAAGCCACAGGAGCAGAGAAGAGAGGTGGGCTGCCGAGACCAGTCAGTGGGAGAGAAAAGTCTTTTCAGCCAGTGGTGCAGGGACAACAAGATATCCATATGCAAAGGATGAAGCTGGACCTCACCTCACATCATGCACGGAAGTTATGTACCCAAGAATGATGAAAGCCTATGTTCACACAAAAACTGGTACACAAATGTTCATTACCAGCATTATCATAGTAGCCAAGAAGCAGAAGCAATCTGTGTTCATCAGCTAAAGAATGAATAAACAAAACAGATTATAGACCGAAATGCAAGAGATAAAGCTATAGAACTCTTAGAAGAAAGCATAGGAATAAATATTTGTGACTCGAGTTCAGCAACTGCTTCTTAGATATGACACCAAAAGCAAAAGCAATAAAAGAAAAAAATAGATAAATTGGACTTAGTCAAATTTTAAAATCTTTTTAGCTATAAACTGTATCATTAGGAAAGTGAAAAGAATGGGAGAAATATTTACAAATCAGGGCTGGGCGCGGTGGCTCAAGCCTGTAATCCCAGCACTTTGGGAGGCCGAGGCCGGTGCATCACGAGGTCAAGAGATCAAGACCATCCTGGTCAACATGGTGAAACCTCATCTCTACTAAAAACACAAAAAATTAGCTGGGCACGGTGGCGCATGCCTATAATCCCAGCTACTTTGGAGGCTGAAGCCGGAGAATTGCCTGAACCCAGGAGGCGGAGGTTGCGGTGAGCCGAGATCGTGCCATTGCACTCCAGCCTGGGTAACAAGAGTGAAACTCCGTCTCAAAAAAAAAAAAAAAAAAAATAGAGAAATATTTACAAATCATATATCTGATAAGGAACTTGTATTTAGGATCTGTAATAAACTCCTACAGCTCAGTAATAAAAAGACGAATAACCCAATTTAAAAGTTGGCAAAGAATCTGAATAGACATTTCTCCAAAGAAGACACACAAATGTCCAATAAACACATGAAAAGATGCCCAGCAACTTCAGTCATTAGAGAAACACAGATCAAAACCACAGTGAGATACCATTTCACACCCACTAGGATGGCTATAATTAAAAAAAGACTGTAACAAGTGCTGGCGTGGATGGAATCGGAACTCTCATGCACTGCTGGTGGCAACGCAGAACGTTGCAGCCACTTTGGAAAACAGCCTGGCAGTTCCTTCAACCATTAAGCATAGTTCTAGATGAGCCAGCAGTTCCACTCCTAGGCATATACCAAAGAAAAAGAAACCATATGTTCGCCAAAAAACTGGTACCCAAATGTTCATAGCAGCATTGTTCCAAATGGCCAAGAAGCAGGAACCCAAATGTGCACCAGCTGAAGAATGGGTAAAGAAGACATGGTCTATCAATGGAATTATTCAGCAATAAAAATAAAGTCCCGAGAAATTCTACAACACAATGAACCTTGAAAACAGAATGCCAAGTGAAAGAAGCATCAAGATCCCACGTCCTATGAATTCACCTATGCGCAATTGGGGAAAGAGGCAAATGGGCAGTGGTGGCTAATGGAGATGGGATTTTGTTCCTTGGGGTGATGAAAATGTTCTTAGACTATGGTGAACATTAGATCTACTCTGTGAATATAGTAAATGCACTTTAAGTGGGTGAAGTTTAGATATGTACATTATATCTCAATAGATATGTTCAAAAGGAGAAGAAAGGGGTCCACGTTGCCGAGTGCTCTTGAGTGGCCAAGTGAGAGAGACTGAAGAGTGTTCATGGGATTTGCCAACAAATCGGTTGACCTTGGTGTGAGCAGTTTCAGGATCTTCTGGGGACTGAGATGGATGGGTGATGAGGAGGAGGAGAAAGTGCCCATGGACAGCAGTTTTGACGGTCCTGGCAGTGGCTCCATCTTGCTCCTTTATGGGTGTGCAGACCCACAGTGGGACTGGGGAAATGACCCTGGTCTTCCCTGCTGTTCTGGTGGAGGCTAGGTCATTAAAGCCAGACCCCCAGTGCCACAGTTCAGGAGGTAGGACGCTAGGGAATGCAGCATGGTGGGTGAGAAAGGTACATGGCACTGGCCTGGGTCCTCGGTGTGCTCCTGGGCCTAGTCTCCACATGCGGGGGTGGGGTGCAGGTCCCAGGTGGTTAGGGGACTGTGGTCAGCCAGGAAGAGGGGCTGAGACTAGACCAGGCTGTGGGAATAGAGGAAATGAAAGACACACACACACACACACACACACACACACACACACACGGTAGGGGAGAGAGAGAGGGAGAGAGTGTGTGGAGGCAGAAGGAAGCTGGCGGGACCAAGGTGCTGAGGAGGCTGGGGTGAGATCCAAATACCAGAGGAAAGGCAGGAAGTGTGAGCATCAGGGGGTGCTCCCGGGGACAGCACGATTTAGCCCCGGGTGCCCAGGGAAGGTCGTTTCCACACTAGCTCCAGATATCATTTAGGTTGTGTTGCTTCAAGAAACAGAAAACTTCACTGGAAATGGCTTGACTTACAAGGAAGTATCTCATAAGAAGCCCCTCAGAACACCTCTCCTCACATCTTCTTAGCCAAAAAACCTCCTGCATGCCTAAACCAATAGCTGCCTGGGTGAAGACTGGGGACTCGGTGGGAGGCCTCACACCGCCACCGCAGCAGGGTGGGTACCTGGACCTCATCCGTTGTGTTAGGATGGGCATGGGGGATCTGAATGGATTCTGGCTTGGTCATAGCACTCACTCCGTGACATCCCCACCCAGGTGCCTGCAACCCCTGAGGCAGGCTGCTCGCTCTGGCTTCCCCCTCATCTAGCCCAGGAGCTCAGCTCTCCTGCCTGGAGAAACCCCATATGTGCAAGTACACTGAAAACTATGTCTGTGAGGCGGGATTATGGCTGATTATTTTCTTCCTGTTGCTCTCTCTCAATTTTCCTTACAATGAAGTTGTACACATGTATTACTTCTATAATAAGAAAACAGTGAAAAGTAGAAGAAACTGCTGGGGGGCACCGTGACTCCCGCGGGATGCGCGAGCTGCTGACAAGGATTTTCAGGTCTGGCCCCTCTTCCCGCTGCCCCTCCGTGCCCTGTGCCTGGAGCCCACTCGGTTTCCAGGCCTTTTCTCTGCCGAGACCCCGCCAAGGGCCTGGCTCCGGCCCTCTCATCTCTTCCCCGGCCAGTGTTTCCATCTCAGCCTCAGTCCCGCCACCCCTGCGCCCAAGCCTGGGCTGCTATGTCCTCATTGTGCCCCCAGAGCCATGGTCACTTCACGAGGACCTCTGCTGGTGTCTCCTCTGCTGTCCTGGAGGTCCAGAGAACAGGAGCTGTGTCCTGTGACCCGCTGACAGCAACGTCTAGCACTCGGAAGGCGTTCATTATCTAGTTTATCGAATGAGTCAATGGACAGTGGCTGGGGAATGGGGTGGACGGTGGACGGGAGGATAAGTGTCTCCTTGAAAGGAGGAAGTTCCCGCGGAGGGAGTGGACACTGCCTGCCTGTCTGAGCTGCGCGCAAGTGAGCGGGTGGCTGGACGAGGCGCGGACTGCAGGGCGCTGCGGGTGGGAGGACGATGTAAAGGGCGCGGGTGGCCGAGGCCGGGCGCAGATGACGCGTGCTTGGTGGGAGGAGCGGGGCGCTAGGGGGCAGACGGGCGACCCAGCGGCGCGCTGTCCGCATCCGCCACGGCGTGGCGCCCAGCACCGGCCAGCGGGCCAGGCGGCGAATGCCCTTTCTGCCCAGAAGTGACTTACAGAAGAGGAACCTTTTGTCCCAGGCAGCGGTGAAAGGTTCCCGGTGACGCAGGCTCGTAAACAAGTTGAAAACCCGGCCGTCGTCAGGCTCGAGACCGCTCAGACAGCGCCGCGGCGACCTGGGCTTGTTCGCCCGCGGGCGGGGTCCCCACAGTTCTCAGCTCGCAGGCGGGGCGCGGTGCCAACGGGGCACCGGAGGGGCCAGAGACCACTTCCCAGGCGCCAGTGTCCCTTTCTTGAGTTGCTACAGGAGTCCACAGAGAGATTTTGGGTGGCGCCTTCAAGCCTACAGAGCCCCTTTGCCAAAATGCTAACGCCCTCACGCTTTTTTTTTTTTTTTTTTTTTCATGGGACGGAGTTTTACTCTTGTTGCCCAGGCTGGAGTGCAGTGGCGCGATCTTGGCTCACTGCAACCTCTGCCTCCCGGGTTCAAGAGATTCTCCAGCCGCAGCCTCCCTAGTAGCTGGGACTACAGGCACGTGCCACCGTGTGTGGCTAATTTTTGTGTTTTTAGGAGAGGGGGTTTCACCAAGTTGGCCATCCTGGTCTCGAACTCCTGACCTCAGGTGATCCACCCGCCTTGGCCTCCCACACTTCTGGGATCACAGGCGTGAGCCACTGCTCCTGGCCCACCCTCACACTTCTAACCCTGCCTGATTTCTTGCCTTCAACCTGATTTTATGCATACTTGAATTTTGTTTTGTTTTGTTTTGTTTGAGACAGGGTCTTGCTCTGTGGCCCAGACTGGAGTGCAGTGGTGCAATGTCGCCTCACTTCAGCCTCAACCTCCCTGGCTCAGGCAATCCTCCCACCTCAGCCTCCCAAAGTAGCTGCAGCCCCAACAGGCATGCCACCACACCTGGCTAATTTTGGTATTTTTTTTTAATAGAGACAGAGTCTTGCTATACTGTCCAGGCTGGTCTTGAGCTCCTGGCCTCAAGCGGTCCTCTTGCCTTGGCAAGTCCCAGTGCTAGGATTACAGGGCTGACCCGCCCAACATCGACTTCAAATCCAGCCCCACCCTAGCCTTGGCTTCATTAGATCCAAATTTATTCCAAATTTTGATTCAGGCTCACATTTTGAACCCATTCTTCCCCAAACCCTAACCCAAGGTGTCTACCCCAATTCTGATAAGGTCTTTTAGTGCAAACTCCATTACTAACTGGATGCTAATTAGAGAACCTGGTAAACTGATGGCAACAAACTCATCCAACCCCAATGTGAGCCAATTGCAAACCCAAACATAGATTCACAGTCTCTCCAAAATGCTGTTTGCAAAAATAGATAAGAAATGCATGAATACATTATGGGTGTAAAAAAATCCCAATGAAACAACAATGAAGGTCGTAAAAACTGGACATTCTCCTTTAGGAGCTCCCACGTCCCCCTCCACGTATGTGTTCTTCAACAGCAACTTGCTTGGCTTTTCTTACTGGCGAACTTCATAGAATGGAATCATTTGCCCTTACTCTCCAGGGACTGGCTGCCTCTGCTCAGTATTGTGAAATCCATCCACACTGATGTGTGCCTGGGGCTTATCCATCATCATTGCTGCATAGTAGGATTGCATTGTACCAATAGAGCCAAATTTATTTGTTCCTTTTACTGTTGATGACATTGGCTTGTGTCCCGTTTTTTCCTTTTTAAAAAAAAATGCTTCTAAAACCAATTGTGCACATGTCTCCTGATGCGCAGAAAGAAGGATTTTTCTTGAGCACAAACTCTCGAGTGAACCTGCTGAGTCATCAGAGGTACATGTGTTCAGTGTTGCTAGATAACATCACTCTGTCTTCCAAACTGCTTGTACTTATTACAATCTACCAGTGGAGACTTCTATTTACTTCTTTGACGAGACTCTATTGCCAAGCCTTTCCATTTTTGCCGCTCTGTTGGGAGAGTCCTGCCTCATTGTGGCTTTAATTTGCATGTCCCTGTTGACAGTAAGGCCAAACATCTTCCCACCTGCTTATTGGCTCTGAGCTTTCCTCTTTTTTTGAAGCGTCTCTTGAAGTCTCGTGCACTTCCTATTGGGTTACTTGTCTTTGTCCTGCTGATTTGCAGGAGTGCTTTATGTCCCGCAGATACTTGTCCTTTGTCAGATATATATCTTCATTTTCCAAAAACCTTACAGATTTGCCTGTTATAGTTTGGTCTTTAATTCACCTGGAAATTACTTTTGTGCACAGTATGAGCCAGAAGTGGAAGTGTGATTTCACTTTTTCTCCATTTGGGTAAGCAATTGCCTGCCATATATAAAGAATTCTATCCTGGGGCCAGGCACGGTGGTTCATGCCTGTAATCCCAGAGGCTGAGATGGGCAGATCACTTGAGGCCAGGAGTTTGAGAACAGCCTGGCCAACGTGGCGAAACCCTGTCTCTACAGAAAATACAGAAATTAGCCAAGCGTGGCGACACATGCCTGTAATCCCAAATACTCAGGAGGCTGAGGCACAAGGATCACTTGAATCCAAGAGGTGGAGGTTGCAGTGAGCCAAGATTGCACCACTGCATTCCAGCCTGGGTGACAAAGTGAGACTCCATCTCAAATAAAAAGTCTATCCTTTCCCCTCTGGTATGCATTTTTATTGGTGCCATATATTAAGCATCTACGTATGTATGTGTTTGTGTATATATATACATATATGTATCTCCATGGCCTGTGTCTGGGTCCTATTTTATTCTATTGTCATTTTCAGCTGTTTCATTCTTTATATTATTGTCATTAATCTTTACAACCCCTGTGGATGGATGCCAAAAACTTTCTTTCTTTCTTTTTTTTTTTTATACGGTGTCTTTCTCTGTCACCCAGGCTGGAGTGCAGTGGCATGATCTTGGCTCACTGCAACCTCCGCCTCCCGGATTCAAGCAATTCTCCTGCCTCGGCCTCCTGAGTAGCTGGGATTACAGGCACCAACCACCACACCTGGCTAATTTTTTTGTATTTTCAGTAGAGACCGGGTTCTCCATGTTGACCAGGCTGGCCTTGAACTACTGACTTTGTGATCCACCTGCCTTGGCCTCCCAAAGTGCTGGGATTACAGGCGTGAGCCACCACACCTGGCAGTCACTTTCTTCTTCCTTTTTTTTTTTTTTTTTTTTGGTGGGAGGGACAGAGTTCTGCTTTTGTTGCCCAGGCTGGAGTGTAATGGTGTGATCTTGGCTCACTGCAACTTCCGCCTCTCAGGTTCAAGCAATTCTCCTGCCTCAGCCTCCTGAATAGTTGGTATTACAGGTGCCTGACACCACACCCAGCTGATTCTCATATTTTTAGTAGAGATAGTGTTTCACCATGTTGACCAGACTGCATCTCAGAGAGGTTCAACTTGGCTTTTGCCACAAACTATGGACCAAAGCAAGTCACAGGCCAGCCCATATCCAAGGGGATGGAAGACTCCATGTCTGCATAGGAGGAGCTGCACAGAATTAAGGCCAGACTGCATCTGCCCTGGCCCATGGGACTGCAGCAGAGCAAGAGGACGGGTTTGGTGACCACAAGGGTCCCTATGGCTGGGCTGTCAGTCTTGTTTCTTCCCTTCTAGAGCCTCAGTCACCCTGATCTTGCCAGGCCAGCTGTGTGTGTGTGTGTGTGTGTGTGTGTGTGTGAGAGAGAGAGAGAGAGAGAGAGAGAGAGAGAGAGAGAGAGAGAGAGTTGCTTTGTCACCCAGGCTGGAGTGCAGTGGTGCAATCTTGGCTCACCGCAACCTCCACCTCCCAGGTTCAAGTGATTCTCCTGCCTCAGCCTCCCAAGTAGCTGGGATTACAGGCATGTGCCACCTCCTCTGGCTAATTTTTGTATTTTTTGTAGAGATGGAATTTTTCCATATTGGCCAGACTGGTCTCAAATCTCAGGTGATTCACCTGCCTCAGCCTCCCAAAGTGTTGGGATTACAGGTATGAGCCACCGCTCTAGGCCCACTGGCCAGCTCTCCATTGGCCCTTAGACTTCACCTTCAGTGGCAGCTCTTTAGAAGGCCTTCTGGCCATTGAGGTCATGATGAGGAGTCTGTGTGTTTCCACATACAATGGAAAACCACTGAGTGACAACTTAATTAACATTATAAAAATCCAAGCAAATTGCGGGGACAATGGTCCATATGGACGCCACTGCTCTGTGGTCTGGATAGGGAGGAGAGGACTGGAACCAAGATGGAGGCACTGGGGAGGGAAGAGATGAAAGGGAATTTGTAGGAGAAGGCCATGCATCAGGCATGGGGTCATGAGGTGAGAGTGTTGGAGAAAAAGTCGGGTTTCTGGACTTCAGAGTCCCCTGTGCAGACAACTAGGAGCCTGTCTTCAAGATCTGCACCAGCCTCTGCTACTCATCCCCAGTGCTGGAGTCTGCACCCCCTTAGGCCCAGGAGAAGCCAAGGGGTGCGGTGGCGATGTGGACACAGCATGGACTCAGCCTGGGGTGTCCGCAAATGTGTGAGTGAGACCTTAGTAGCTCTAAATGGGGCCAGGGCAGGAAGGGAAGGGCCATAGACTCCATTTTACTCTTGCCCTGGGTTTCACAAATATTAGGGGTGAGGCTGCTAGCGTGGGAGAGTGCCTGAGAGACACCCACACAGAGGTAGCAGAGAGGTGGCTGGATTCGTGATTGGAATTCAGCGGACAGATCCTGGCAGGAGTCAGAGATTTGGAAGTCACTACCCAACAGGTGGAATAAAAGCCACAAACACTGATGAGGTCGCTTGGGAAAGGCATACCTCAGGGCATGATATAGTGCCTGGCACACAGGCGGTTATCAGAGAAATGATTCAATGAGAGCAAAGAGAAAACGCTTCTTTCTCTGCTAGGAACACGTGCACTGGGTGAGTCAGGAGCAAGTATCAGAAGATGATGGATCTCATTACTCAGTGAGAGAAAAGTAGGCCTCAAACCCATTGCACATCAGTAGGGAGGATGAAAAGAAACACCCATAGAGTTCAGCCACAACCCTGGGAAAACTGATGGATTTGTGAACATGGGAGATGAACTTGACAAAGACTCCAGATGCACCATGGGAAGGATGGCACTCCACATAGCTAGCAGAGGACTTCCCCTGTAGGGCAAAACACATGGTTGAAATGTACCAGCTACGATCCCACAGGGGAGTGAAGAAGCCGGCTGGGGTTAGAGAGCACCCTCCTCTGAACTGAGGAAAATGCACATGAAAGCTCGGCAGCAGCCACAGCTGGGGCATTGTTACGCATCTCGGAGAAAAATGCCAACCCCCAGAAGCTTCCTGGCAGAAAATAAAAGTTACTTCCAAAGATGCAAGCTTCAGATTTACAGCCTTGGAGGGACCAGAACCCTTGGGGGAAAAGAGCAAAACAGACGGATTTCGTGTTTCACAGCACCACAGGGGCAGGTTCCCAGCCGGCAGAGCATGTCTGGTGTTTGCAGCAGGAGGCCGTGTCCTGCTAGCCGCGTCCTCCTGACCAGGAGGATTTCCGGTAGAGCCAGCATTTTGCTCCTCTATTCTACAGATGAGGAAACAGAGCCTAGAGAGGTTCAGGCCCAGGAAGTCCACTCGCCGGCCAGCCTCTGAGCAGGCCTCTGTGTCTGGGGCCTCCACCCCTGCTTCCTCTGCTTCCTGGGAGGCCACTGTCCCCCTGGAGACCCTTGACATAGCTCCACTGCTGTGGCCACTCCTGCCTGTCATGGCTCCTCTTGGCCCTGGGGCCCAGGGCTCCCCAGCCCCTGCCAGGCCATCCCATCCCCAGCCCTGCCTCTCTTGCTCGTCAGGCCACCTCTGGCCCTTGCTGTGGGGATGGCCGGGCTAAGGCACCTTCCTGAGCACCTGGTGCCCAGCCCATCCCTTGCCCCTGCCACCCCCACCAGGCAGCCTCGTCATGGCTCCAAATCCCACAAGGGAAAATGGAGACATGGGGAGGCCCAGGGACCTGCCAGAGCCCAAACTGCCAGGAGAGGTACAGTCGGGACCACCCAAAGTCAGACTGGAGTGGCCCTCTTGTCCCTCTGATGGCCCCTCCTGGATCCAGGGCCCAGTGTTTTCTTTTCTCAACAAACACCCTCCCTCAGGTTATGGCTTGTGCTTTTCTGTTGGAAAAGTGTGGCTCTTTAAGAGCCTGGGCTCTGGCTTCAGACTACTTGATTCAAATCCTGGCTCTGTCATCTTCTAGCTGTGTGGCCCAGGGTGAGTAACTCACCCTCTCTGTGCCTCCATATCCTTCTCTATACAACAGGACAATGAGTGTGCCTGCTTACAGAGCTGGGTAAGCATTAAATGAGTTAATACTGGGGAAGCACTTGGAATAGAACTTGGCCCAGCTGAGCAGTCCATCCCAGGCAGGATCCTGTTAGATTCGAATTGTGGCTGTCACTCGTCTCACACGCCCTTGCCCTAGTTACAGAAAGTCTCCAGCTGGTCTCTGGCTTCTGCTTTATCCTCCCCGACCCTATACCCAGATTCTGTTCTTGGTGGGCCAAGAGGGAGGGGTCCTCTGAAGACATGTCAGACCACGTCATTTCTCTGCTCAAAACCCTCCAACAGCTCAAACTCACTCAGTGTCACATCCCCCACAGGCTCTCTGGCCTCACCCTCTCTTCACTCTCCCTGTGCCACTGCAGCCGTACTGGCTCCTTCTGCCTCTCAGTTACACTAGGCTGCCTCAGGACCCTTGCACAGCCTCAAGACCCTTGCACGACCTGTTTCCTCTCCCCGTACTCCACCTCCAAGACTTCAGTCACCTTCTCAGTGAGGGCTGCTCTCACCAGCCTGCTCCACATTGCAGCCCACGGCTCTAGCCTGACACCCCCAGCACTGCCACTGTCCACGATCACTTCTCATCTTTCCCTCTGACACTCCCTGTCACTTACTGCCTGAATCTATCTCTTGCTTTCTACCTTCCCCTCACAGAATACAAACTTCCTGAAGTCAGAAGTCATCGTCTGTTCATGGACACGGCCTGACTACCCGACAATAGTTGGCACACAACCGTGACTCTGCATGAAGATTGACTGAACTAGGAATTTCAGAATTAGCTGAGTGTCTCCTGCAAATGCAGATTCCTGGGTCCCTGGCTCCGCCTGTCTGGGAGTGAAACTCAAGACTGTCTTATTAACCTTCCTGCCAATCCGCCAGCTGAATCTGATACAGTCACACGTTCTCAAGTCATTGCATGGGAAGAGTCGCACTCCCGAGTGCAGAGACCACAGACCACATCTGACTTCTGAGGCTCTAGCCCTTCGAGCCCCTGAATTTTTCTGGCCTCTCCAACAGTGGCAAAGTGCCCAATGCTGTATGAGAAACATTTGCTTTTGCAAGAAGTAGCCAGAGGCATGGAACAAAAGTCCCAGCCAGGACCCGGACCAGATAAAGGCCCATTTCTAGGTGGCTGAAGCGGTCAAGGCCTTGAGGAATGAGGATGGCCTGAGGCTGGTGGGGGAAGGTGGCTGACTGTTCCCAGGCAGGATGATCCACAGGCCTGGGCAGGCCCAGAGAACCTCTGGTGACCCCGAGCAGAGTAGAGGGCCTGGCCCACAGGGATGACCGCCTGACAGGAGGAGGCAGAGCTGGTGCAGGGCTGCTGGCACATCCTGGCATTGCAGAAGGAAAGGGGCTAGAGGTTCAGCATGATTCTGCCCCTGTGGTCCTCACATCAGGACTCAGCACTGTAGGATGATGCATTGAGCCAGGGGAGGCAAAAGCTAGAGGGAGAGGGAGAGCTCTCAGGTAGGGGGTTGGGGGGCTAGGTCAGGAGAGTGGGTGCAGGGCGCTGGGTGCAGATGGCAAAGAGAAGCCGAGACCCTTGCCCACAAACACAGCAACTTCTCAAGGCACTACAAGGTTGTAACCAGAATTCAGAAACTCATTCTCTGTCCTAAGTCCGAAAGGAGAGTGGACACCGCCTCCCTTGCACCGTGATGAGCTCTGCTGTGTTCTTACCTTTCCTTTTCTATTTTATTCTTGTCTTCATTGATTTTCTTGACAGTTCTGACTACACTTTTCTAAATGAGCAGCTGGAAACAGCCCTGGCCTGACCAGTGACATGTAGAGACTGTGCGAAGTGCAGACTCAGCCCTTCCCAGAGCCCTTTCCCAGAGCAGGCAGGGCAGGGAGAGAGGAGTGTCCAGTTCTTCCTGTTTCCTATAGGCTCTAGGTGGTGGCCTAAGCCCATGGGCCACCACTAAGTCTTTCCCTTGTCTTTAGAATATATGAGCATGACTTCCCCACTCTTCTGGTGACACACCCAGGAGACCCTGGCATGGATGGAGCAGCCAGGAAAATATTCCAGCCTGGGTAAAGGGCACTGCCTGAACCCACCAGATGCCCCAACTCCCAGCAACTGTAGTTGTTGGCCCTCCTTGGGGATCTCTGGGCGTCCCATAGCCAGTAACGGGGGACATCTCCGCCCCATCCCTCTGCAGCACCTGGGCCCTCCCGCGGTTAGATACCGTGAACATCCCTGCCCTCAGGTCTGTGCTGGAGCCTCGTGGCTCCAGGCCTGTCTGCCTTGAAACCTGGTCTCTCTTCACTCCACCCTGCCTCTCTCTAGCACCTTTTGCTTTTCAGAGTTACCAAAGAAAGGCAAAACAAAACCTGTTTCTCAACCATGTCCAGCGTTCCTAGTCCTGAGGTTCTGTCTCCAAAATATGTGCTCAAGGCCATTTGCATCTCCATGGCCACTACCAGGTAGAGCCGCCACTCCCTTGGCTCCCATCTGTCTCCTGTGCTGCTCATCTCCCTGGGCTGCCCTGTCCTGGCCCCCAGTGTCCTGAGGCTGATCTCTAGGACAGCCCACACCAACTTCTGGTTTGTTTCCATCAATAGGAGGCACGGTCACGCTGGGTTTGGGGCAGCAGAGAGAGCTCAGGGCACCTGGCTGCCTCTCCTATGCCTGGGCGAGGTTCCAGCAGTGCCTGTTGGGTGGCTCCTGTGCATCCACCTATCTGCCTTGCCCACAGCTCCTGCCCGCAGCTCCTCCAGGCCTCTGGATGGGGTGGGAGCCTCCATTCCTGGGGCTCTGGGAACTCCACCTTCTAACCTACCTGCCTCTGTCACGGGCCCTGGTATGACATTTGTTCTGTTCGGCCTGCTCTAGTGTGCTGGCCTCTCCTCGGGGGGCACCGCCTGATACCTCCCGACAGTCTTTGTTTTATTTTAAACTGTGGTAAAATCCCATAAGTGAAATGATTGTCTTCCTCAGTTTTGAGTGAACAGTTCAGCGCATTAAGCACATTCACACTGTTGTGCAACCATTACCGCCATCCGTCCACAGGAATTTTTCCCTTTGTAAAACTGTAAGTGTCCCCATTAAACACAGACTCCCCCAAAGCTTGGTGACTACCATTCCACTCTCCGTGTCTGTGAACCTGACTGCTCCAGTGACCTCGCAAAAAGAGGAATCGCATAGGACTTGTCCTTCTGTGCCTGCTTTATTTCTGTCGGCACCGTGTCCTCAAGGTTCATCCATGCTGCGCACTGACAAAGTTCCTTCCTAAGGCTGGTCACGTTCCACTGTGTGGACAGAGTACATTTGGCTTCTTCATCCACTGATGGACACTCAGGTGCCTCCACATTTTGGCTACTGTAGCTGCACCATGGTGTGCCTGGGTGTGCTCAGCAGCGCTTTTGCACATGGCAGCAGAGCAATCTTTTAAAACACTGAAGCCGGATCTAGTCTCTCTCTTGCTGAAACATGTCAGTGGATTCCCGTGGCTCTGAGAATACAAACAAAAATCTTTACTCTGGTCTATAACAGTGTTGTTGAGTTGCCAGTTGCTGCCCCTCCGTGAGTCAGGATGGTTCGCTGCATGGCTGCACCCCTGCTTTGTGGAAGGAGGGCAGAGATGCATGGAAGCTGTGCCCTGGGGCTTACACCACCACAGGAGCCTGCAAGAATCATGGTGTGATGCTTGCATTGCCAGAAGACACATGTGGATTGAGCCAGGTGATTGCTCACTGTGGGACGTGTCCTGCCTGTTGGGACCCCCGGCCCTCCTCGAAGCTTCCACAACTCCCAATCATCTCCCACTGCTGCTCTCAGCCTCAGCATCCTGCAGAACCTCTGGGGTGCAGGCACTTCCCCACCCCAGCCCGCCTTCACACGGCTCACCTTTCCCTGGCTCCTCTCAAGACAGCTCCTTCTCAGCTCCAGCAGCACCTCTGTGAAGAGGCCCTCCCCACGCAGCCCACCTGAAGCAGCTTCCCTCTGCCTCCCTGCTTGTCTGGTTGGAATGTTCAGGAGGACAAAGACTGTGCTGTGCTCCCTGCCCTTGGGCCTGGCTCAGGCTGGGCTGGGATGCCGTGGGCCTCCACAAAGAGCTGTCCTAGCACTTAGTACCACTGAGACTACTCTAATCCCTGCACAGAGCCCCTTGTATATCCCACACTGGAGTACAAAATCCCAGAAGGTAGGCCCCCACCTCTGTGGGGAATGGCTGTGTTGCCAGAACAGTACCAGTCATACAGTAGGTACTCAATACATGCCTGTTGGGTGGATGAGTGTATGAACTATGTCTGTAGCCAGGAACAGGGGGATGTCAGGGAAGAACCTCCCAGGAATGTGCATGCTCTGGGCTCTGGGCTGGGGGCTGGGGGCTGGGATCCAGGATCGGGTATGGATAGGGACAGCTGAGGGTCCCGGGTTTCAGGCTTACAAACTCCTTGCCTGCTCTCTGCCCTGGTGTGCCTGGCCTGGCTCCTCAGTCTGCCCAGGCAGCCCTGACAGCTTGCAGGGTCTACCAAGGCTCCCACCTGACAGCCGGGGCTTGGCTGTCCCTGAAGCAGAAAGTGCAGTGGCAGCTGCTGTGAGAGCCTGGCCCTACCTCTATGCTCTGTGGCTATGTCACCGAAGTCCCTCTGTGTTCTTGGGTTCTCTCAGCTCCTTCCCTAGAACTCAAGCAGCAAAGCCTCCTGTGAGGACTGAAGGAGGCAGTGGGTTTGCAATCGACTGGCTGCAGTTTGATAGTACCGATAATGATTCATCTCCGGGCATGGGGGGAGCAGGTACTCACTGATCCGACTGTTGGGGAGGCATAGAGCCCCTCATCCCATGGTGGCTCCTCCATTACTAGGGAAAACAGTGGTGCCTGGAATCCCAGCCACAGGACCCCCACACCTGGTATCTTCTCCTGGGTCCTCCTGTAAACAGCAAAGGCCTCCAGACAAGTCTGTGCAGAGAGGCTCAGTCTTGGGTGGCAGACGGTCTTTCTTTTCTTGCAGGTGGGGACAGTGTAAAGGTCTCACGCATTGTGGGGATGGTGCTGAGGGAAGGCGGGCAACCGGGGCTGGCCTGGTGATGGCTTTAGACACATCTTACATCTGACCTCAGCACATGGCCGTCAGACTAAATTAAAGCTGCATGAAAGCGGTTGGTGATAACATTAAACCATGACAGTCCCAGGTGAGCATGACCATGTGACATCAGTGAAAATGTGACTAGATACACATAAAACCTTGAAGCAGAGGGGTTCTAAATAGGACACCAAAGGCAGAATCCATCACTACATTTGGAAATACAACTATGGAAATACAACAAATTCTGCAACTCCAAAACAATTGCTGGCTGCAGATCCAGGCAGGGTGTGAGGGTCTTTCCCAGGCAAGCAGTTCGTGCACCTCAGCAAGGAAATGGGCAAGACTCCTCTAGGAAGCACAGGCCCGAACAGGCCCTACACAAGGAAAGCCCATCTGCCTGTTTAATATTTCAACAGTATGAATTAACCTTCCACTTTACTGATTATCAAGGAGATGTAAATGAATACAATGACTTTTTTTTACCTGTCATATAGACAAAAATTGACAGAAAGAAGTGTCAGTTTTTAAAGTGAGGCCACCCAGTGGTGACAAGGACCATGAGGACAGCAAATCATGGATGCAGAGGTCTGCATGAATGTAAGGTTCAGAGGGCAACAGGGTCACAAATAACCCGAGAACATCTGATGCACAAACCCCACTTTGAAATTCTCTTTAACAGATAGGAGGACCAACATACAAAGACATATGCCCCAGGACCATGTATTGCAGTTTTGCATATGAGAGTAAAAAACTGGAAATAATATACATGTTCTCCAAGTGTGGATTGGCTGAATCAATTACAAAGCATCTACCTCTATGGATCACTGGGCAACCTTTAAAGGTGATTGATATTAATGGATTATTATTGCCATAGAAAAAAATATAGAAATGATATACCAATATATTGTTCTGTTTTAAAAAAGCTCCAGAAGCAGCCCAAGTGTCCTTCAATGAGTGACTGGATAAACAAAATGTGGTCTGTACAGTGGCATGTGATTTAGCTTTGACAAGGAAAGAAATTCTGACACATGCTACAATATGGGTGAACCTTGTGGACAGTACACTAAGCGAAATGAACCAGACACAAAAGGACACATACTGAACGATTCCCCTTATATGGGGTATCTAGAGCAGTCAAATTCATAGAGACAGAAAGTTCAATGGTGGTTGCCAGGGGCTGGGGGAGGAGGGATGGGAACTGGTTTAATGGGGACAGAGTTTCAGTTTTGCAAGATGAAAATGTTCTGGAGATTGGTTGTACAACAATGTGAATATACTTAACCCTACTGTACACTCATAAATGGTTAAGATGCTACATTTTTTAATGTGTCTTTAACCATAATTTTTTAAAAAGCCTCTGAAACACTTATGTATGATGTGTTCCCATTTTTGTAATATAGCCAGAAAATATTAACAATAATATGGTTATCAATAACTTTTTTCTTCTTATACTTGTCTGTATATTCTGATACTTTGGTCAGTGAGTAAATTTACAGAAAAACTATTGCAGAATAACACACAAAACAAGCATAAAGCAAACCATATTTTTTTCTGGTTATAAAAGTAAAATTATAATATGTTCATTGTAAAAAATCTGAAAAAGTGACATATGTAATGCTAAAAAGAAAGAGCACTTGTAATCCCACTATTCAACATAAATATTTGAAAAATCATTCACTTAAATATTTCTTATTGATTTCTTTTTCATTTTTTCTATAAATAAATTTTCCTTGCATAATCATATCTAGAATAATTCCTAGATAGGACTACCATACAGACTTTTAATTTTCATGAGGTAGTATTAAAAACCTGATCTAAACAGTTAAATGATGTTCCATGGGGTACACGGGACATAGTTTATGGCCAGTTTTCCATCTGTTGGTCATCAACCAGTTTTCATTTTTTCTCAATGGCAAGTCATGTTGGAAAGTACAAGTCTGTGCATAAATCTGGCTGCAAATCTGAATTTCTTTGAATCAGTTTCTGAACATAGACTTACTGGCTCAGGGCTCTACATATCATGCAAGGTCATTTTCTGGAAATGTACCTATTTAACCTATTTCCAACAGTGTTATAACTCTAGAATAGCCCTGTCAGTAGGATTAAAATAATATCATGTTTGCATTTGTGTTTCTTTGATCAATGATGAGGTTGAAGGTTTCCCAGTGCAAGGACAGGACGTTTGCATGCTCTGTCTTCACTCTACTTGGGCTGATGTCCTGACAGTGTGGAAGTGCCTGGCATCATGCTGGGTAGATGGTGCCATCTCATTGCCCTCTGAGGCCCCTCCTTGTGTGTGAAGCTTACCCTCATGTGCTGAGCCATAGCCCCCCCTTGGTTCCTTGTGAACAGCTTGGAGCTGAGTGACAGCCAGTGACCCCAGCCTGCTGGATTTACGGGACAGGCACCTTGGGGAAAGGGGATAGGAACTTCAGGCCCAAGGTTGGCCTGAAAAACATGCGTTAAACTTTGAGGACTTTAACCAGGCAGGAGTGACTCATTAACTCCCTGTCACCCATCAATGCCCACCAGCCAGATTCAGCTGGGGAGGACAGGCTGGGGCTGGGGAGGTGATTTGGACCTGTCTTCCCTTCTGAATGGGAACTCAGTGCCTTTCCCATGGACACTAAGGCTTTGGCTGTGGAATATTCCCATGATTTCCATCTGTCATTTTTATTTGGCTCCTTGCGTATGTCCATTCTGCTGTTCAGTCTTTGGACTGAGTTTGCATGGATACCATCAAGTATTACATTTCCAGGAATCATCTCTCATTTTCTGAGTGCTCCTTTTTCATGGCAGCTTGTTCTTGTTTTACAGGTTCACTATGCCCATGGCAATAGCAATAGCCCCTACCTCAAGGGAGATGATGTGTTAGGTGAGGTGGACTTTGTAGAGCACTCGGAACAGTGTCCAGCATTCAGTAATTGCTCGAATGTTAGCTCTGAGCTATGTGCCTGGGATACAGGAAGCACTCAGTAATGTTGCCCATTGTATTATCTGGTGGTCCACAGATGTTTTTCCAAGAAAGCTTGGAAGTTCCAGGGCTATATCCATGGCCAGGCCGCTGCCTCATGCCACAGCCAGGGAACCCTAGCAACCCAAACCATCTGTCCTTCCCTAAGGCATTCTCCCATCTGCCCCCAAAGAGTTGTAAGTTAAGAGTCCTCCACTCAAGACCCCCAAGGGTTGTTTTGGCTAAACTCTTGGTGCAGAGGAGAAAACAGAGACCAGTGGCGGGTGGTGACGTGCTCAGATCTCTGCAGCCAGTTAGAGCAGGGCTTAGCTTGCAGGTCTCTGGGCTCCCAACCCACTGGCAGAGAGACATCACACCCTGGGCTGATAGTGGCTCCTTCTGCCAGGTTCCCTTATAGAGCAGTACTGTGCCCTCCCTCCCTCCTTCCTCTCTCCAGGGTCTGGAGCCCGTGTATGGTTGAGTCATCTTGGGCCACATGAGTGAGGGCTGTGACTGAGCAATGGCAGAGCCACAGGTGGGAGTCTGGGCCCCTGCACTGGGTCGACATCCCCATCTGTGACACTCAGCAGGTAGGAGGCCAGGGGCAGAGAGACTGTCTCCTATTTAAGACATTGATCTTTTATGTCTCTGTGCCAGCATGAGGACTGTGTTCTGGCTCCTCACAGTGGCTGGCCTGTGCCCACCTAGCCACTGGTCACTGCTGGGACCTCCAGGACCCTGACCCTCTGCTCCTCACTCCCAGGCCAGGGGGAAGCAGCCTCCTACAGTCATGTGGGTGCAAGGACAGTAAGGACCCTGTGGCAGCCAATGTGGGGACAAGTGGGTGCCAGGCAGTGCTGCCCTCCATGTGCCTCAGCTGTGTCCTGACCCAGCTCTTCCTGCAGGCTTCCATTTCCTGCCTTATAAGGGGTCCCTCTCTATATCCTCCCCCTTTTTGGGGTCTCAAAGCTTCTCTACAGAGGAGGTAGCAGATTCTCCCAAATCCCCACTACCTTGTCATTTTCTGGGTTGGGAGTAGTTTTTGCTGCAATGAACAGCAGGGCCTGGCTGGTCAGCACTCACGGTGCGGTGGTTTAGGCCGCCCTACAAAGCCCCGCACCTCATTCACAGGAGCCTTGAAGTGGGCAGTGTCCTGGCCCCTGCCATGGGCTCAGTCACAGCTCAGGGAAACTGGGACAGGCCAGCATGGTTCTGAGAGGCAAGTGTTCCGCGCAGCCCTGGGGCCTTGCTGTAGATGAAGACATGAATAGCATGTCTTTATCTACAGAGCGGAGAGCAGAATATGGCCTCTCAGCATGTCCTGAGGGCTCAGGTGGCCTCTGCAAAGGCCTTTGTTAGCTGTGAAGTGTACCCCACGTGTGCCACTAACCAAAGAAGGTTCCCCCAGACAGGGCTGTGAGGTGATTTGCAGTGAGGATGGGACAATTAAAGGCAGAGGCAAAGATGTGAGGCTTGGGATCTGGGAAACTCTGCCAGACCGAAGCCCCTCACCGGGCTGAGGGTGTCAGTGGTGGAAGGAATTCCTAGGCTGCTTACTGCCATCCCCTTCCAGAGCTGGCTCCACCAGGGTGGTCTGGATGCTGCCTCCTTCCCAAATCTCTGCCTCTCCTGGAAGACCAGCCTGTATCACAGCCCTGGACCTTGAGTCCTACCCACATCTGTGATAAAGTCCTACATCCTTGGAGGCCCAGCCCTGAACCAGCATGACTGCAGGCGGGGAAACATGGGTATGAATTCTGCTCTGCTGAGGACCCAGCACTGCTTCGAGTGAGCTGCTGTGCCCTCTGCTTCCTCCTCTGCAGTCAGGGAGGTGGGGCGGGCTGTATGTTCACCAGTGTCCCCCTGTTCCCTTCTGGTAACAATGACAACACTCTGGTTTTGTGCTGGGGACTTCCCTCCCCACTCTCTGTGAGATTCTGCAAGGCCAACTCTTCTCCCTTTCCAGGGCTGGCCCAGGCCTGGCTGCCAGTGACCCACTTGCCCCTGGCCACAACGAGTGGGTCAGAGATGAGCATATGACACTAGCAGGATCAGCCAGCAGCTGGCCAGGACCCCTGTTGGGCCCATCAGCACCAAGCAGTGAAGCCTGGAGCTGCTGAGACAGCCCCATGTAGAGTGAAGTAAGACCAAGAAGCCGAGGAGCAGGGTCCCTCTGGCAGCAGAGACCCTGGTGTTAGCTGGGCCTGGAGACCACCTTGGAGGCTCCACTTACTCCAGCCTATCAACTCCATTTCCCCTTAGACAAATGTGGGTTGGACTGGTTTGAACTGAAGTGTGCTTGAGCTAGGGATGGTTGTCTCTGAGCCTGGGGCTGGAGAGTGGCCTTGGAATAGGAGCCACAGCCAACAGGATTCTTGAAGGAGCAGGAAGGAAGCTCAGGCCAGAGCGAGGGAGGCTGGCCAATGGCTAGGAGGTGCCCGAGAGCGCCCCCTCCCCAAATACATATCTGCTGTGTATCTGCTCTAGACCAGGCACTCAGACAGTGTGTCTGTGCCTGGGGCCTGGCCTTGTGCTGGTGGCAGGGGGTCTGCAGACAACACAGGCCTGGTTACCACTGCCATAGTGCTCACGGTCTAGCGGAGGGAACAGCACCTGCCTAGCATGCTTCATGGCTCACTCAGAGCCCAGTGGAGGCCTGGGAGTGGAGAGCCCCGCGCCAGGGCGCTGCTTGAGAGGGTCGCTAAAACTTACAGGTGGCCAAGGTGGGGAGCGCCTAGGTCACAGGACTCCAAGGAAACTCCGCTGGACTTGTGGATGACAGTGCTCGAGTGGATAAAGCACCAGTGAGATGGACTTGGAGCATGGGAGAGTGAGGTGGCCGGCCTCGGAGCACAGGGGACTGGGAAATGAGAATGCAAGAAAAAACTAAAACCCAAAAAGTAATAGAAAAAATGTTCAGAGCTAAATAAAAGCATGAAATCTCCTTCACATGATGACCAAATAGAAGAATGAATAAATGAAGCCAACACCAAGGTAAGTCACCATAAAATTTCAGATCATCAAGGATAAAGAGAAGATCCCAAAAGCGTCTTAGAGAGAGGAAAAAAACAGGTAGCCTCTGTCTTAGTCCACTAAAGCTATGATAACAAAAATACCATAAACTGGGTAGTTTAAAAACAATAGAAATGTATTTCTGTCAGTTTTGGAGTCCAGGGAGTCCAAGATCAAGGAGCAGGCAGATTCAGCCTAGTGAGGGCCTACTCTCGGGCTCATAGATGGTGCTGGCCATAGATGGATGTTTGACCCTCCCCTCCCAATCTCATGTGGAAATGGGGAGGTGGGGCCTAGCAGTAGGAGTCTGGGTCAAGGGAGTGGATCCCTTATGAATAGATTAGTGCCCTCTATGGGAGAAAGGGGGTGAGTTCTCTCTCTGTGTATTCCCTAGAGAGCTGGTTATTAAAAAGAGCCTGGCACCTCCCCCTGACCTCACTTCCTCTCTCACTGTGTGACCTCTGCACATGATGATTCCCCTTCACCTCCACCAAAAGTGGAAGCATTCTGAACCCTCACCAGGAACAGATGCGGGCGCCATGTTTCCTGTACAAGCTGCAGAACTGTGAGCCAAATACACCTCTTTTCTCTCTTTCTCTTTCTTTCATTCTCTTTCTTTTTCTTTCTCTCTCTTGTGTTCTCTTTCTGTCTTTCTCTTTCTCCTTCCTTCTTTCCTCCCCCACAACCTTTCTTTCAAGAGAGTATCACTGTGTCACCCAGGCTGGAGTGCAGTGGCAGGATCTTGGCTCACTGCAACCTCCACCTCCCAGGTTTAAGCCATTCTCCTGCCTCAGCCTCCCAAGTAGCTGGGACTACAGGTGCGCACTACCACACCTGACTAATTTTTGTATTTTAGTAGAGACAGGGTTTCACTACATTGGCCAGGCTGGTCTTGAACTTATGCTCGTGATCCACCCGCCTCAGCTTCTCGAAGTGCTGGGATTGCAGGCGTGAGCCACCGCACCCAGCCTTTTTTATCATTTACCCAGTCTCAAATATTATTTATAGCAATGCAAATGGACTAAGACAGCATTTTCTCCCTGTGGCCTTACATGGTGGGAGGGATGAAGGGTTCTCTGATGCCTCCTTTATAAGAGCATAAATCCACTCAGGAGGGCTCTACCATGTGACCTCGTGACCTCCCAAAGGCCCTACCTTCTAATACAATCTTGGTGGGGGTTAGGATTTCAACATGTGAGTTTCAAGGGAACACAAATACTCAGACCACAGCACCTTCAAAGGAATACAATTCTAGTCAGTATCAAACATAGCAAAACCAGATGCCAGATGACAGTGGAGCAATACCTTCAAGTTCTGAGCAGAAATCATTTTGAATCTAGAATTTCATAACTATCAATAAAGTATGACCGCAAATTAAAGATGTTTTTAGACATGGAGAGTCTCAGAAAGGTTATCTTCCAAGCACTTTTACTGAAAAAAATTACTTGATGATATACTGCAAATAAGAAAGAAACCGAATCATAATCATAATCAATTATAACCATAAAAACAATGGTATTAAAAAAAGAAATCCGAGGTGACTTTTCAAAAGGTTTAGAAAGCACCAGTCCAAATTAGAAAAGAAATGTCATTTGCATCTTGAAATATGACAGAGTCTGAATAGCCGCAATGCTGATGCATGCTGGCCCAGCCCCAGCAGGGCACACAGACACTGCCACAGGGTGATTGAGGGGCCTTTAACGCAGGAGAGATTTATAGACACATGGGCAGGGTTAGGAGTTAAGGCACCTCTAGGAGAGGCTGCCTGATGAAGCCATGGCCATAAGTAGAGGGACACAGCCAGTAATGGTGACACATGGGGAGCCAGCGAGGGGCACACACTGAACCTCACATTCCTCCCATACTCCAGTAGCTTGGCAATGCCTCCCACAGGCCAAACTCATTCGGACATCAAAGGCACATATTCACAGTCTATGCAGCCGTGCCTCTGGGGGCACAGACATTATTTGGCATGCAAGGTGGGGCCATATGCTTCTTGTACAGACACAGAAGACATGGGCATAGTTTTATTTATTTATATTATTGTTTGATTTTTTGAGAAGGGTCTTGCTCTGTCACCCAGGCTAGAGTGTGCTGTTGCAATCTCGGCTCACTGCAGCCTCTACCTCCTGGGCTCAAGCAATTTTCCCACTTCGGCCCCCCCAGTAGCTGGGACTACAGGGACACACCACGATGCCTGGCTAACTTTTGTATTTTTGTAGAGATGGGTGAAACCGCCGTGTTGCCTAGGCTGGTCTGGAACTACTGGACTCAAGCAATCTGCCCGCCTTGACCTCCCAAAGTGCTGGGATTACAGGCGTGAGTCACTGTGCCTGTCTCAGGAACATTACTTAGAATAACAACACACAGAAGTAGTAGGTGGCACTGGTGCTGGGTAGAATTTTACTTTTCATATCATGCCTTTTTGTAGTGCTTGAACTTTAAAAACATGTGCAGGTGTTATTTTTAAAAGAATTGCTCAAATGAATGGCCTGAACACCAGTTTGGGAGGCTTGAAATTGGATTAATAGGGGACAGAAAATCCCATGGCTTTTGTCCTACTGACAAGGTGGCCACTGTTGCCCGTGCTTCTAGTCTTTCCTGGGCTTGGCACAGCCTTCCATGAGAGTGACACCCACACCCACTCCCCAGAGCTAACCTGCCCTGCTCTGTGGTCTCTCCCGGCTCCTCGGTGCTGTTCCTTGCTGCTCCCAGCACGTCCCCCCAGGGTGGAACCCCTAGCCCCCTTCACACTTGTCCTTATCACCTGCATCACCGTTATCCTGCTGGGTCCCTTACTCTGCACTGGGATCTCAGGAGGGCCTGACAGCATGAGCAGCATCTCATGTCCACAGCAATGCTTGGCATTGGCGGGACAGCTGTCCAGGAGCGGTGAATACATATTGGAAGGAATGGTAACAGCCTCTACTGAATCTCTGTACTTTCTTATGCCTTTTCTCTTACTTTGGTTATATTCAGACAACCTTTTGAGGTAAGTAGGTTAGGGGTCTGAGCACCCATTTTACAGAGGAGGAAACTGAGACTCTAAGAGACAAACTGATTTGCCCAAGGCCACTCAGCAGTGAGGGACTCTGCATAAGAACCAGAGTCCAGGCTGCCATGCATATACAGCCCCACTGGGCTGGGGCCCAGGCTGCCTGCCTGTCTGGAATCTGTCAGGCTTCAGAGAGACCATGGTTCATGGCAGAGACAGTGATGAGGGGAAGCCAAAGAGCCCAGAACCACATTGACCCCAGAACCACACTGGTGTGTCCATGGACCAGGGGAAGCTGGAGCTCTCAGCTCCTGCTGCTCCTGGATCCTCCAGACCGGGGGTGTCCCTGGGGCTTTGCCAGTGCTCAGAATCAGGGTCAGAGGCTCTCAGGACTCAGCCCTTTTCTGTGTCTTCTTGGACTGTCAGGTCCCCAGGTCCCTGGGCTGATGTTCCTCAGAGTTAGGTGTGCTCAGGGCTGGGGGGGCTGGGGTGGGGATGACACTGGTCATGAGAGAGGGATGGACCCTCATCTGAGTTGCCTGGTGTCAAAACAGACCTAACCTCTTGTCTACACAGCACCAGGGGCCTGCTTGGTGGGGAAAGGGTCTGGCCCAGCCTGAGCAACCTCCTGCAGTATGTTTTTTCTGGCCCCGGGACATCCTCAGCCCTTCTGCCTGCCTATTCCCTAGCCCCCAGCTCAAAACCACTTCCTGAGCCCAGAATGGATAGGGTCTCTTCAGCACCCCAGCCCTCAGAGGAAGAGCTGGTCAGAAGGTAGGGGACTCTGGTCAGAGACCCTTGAAGCAGGGCTGGAGACATGGGAGCTGAGAGTAGGGGAAATTGTTGCTTCCCACTTGGGAAGGATGAGGAGAAGTTATTCACTGTGGGAGGCCACAGGGCTTGATGGCCACAGTGGGCCCTTTGTGCACAGACCATTGAGCCACTGAATGGGGCCCTCAAAATGATTCCTGGCAGAGTAGACTGGGCTCAGACCCCCAGGCAGGTGGGAGCTAGTGGGGAGGCTGGAGGTCTCAGGTGTGTGAGTGGGACAGGGGATGAGGACAATATTGGTGGCTACAGTGCTGTGGAAGACAGCGCCCGACCTTGAAGAGCTTCTCCAAAGACCCCATATCCATTGGCAGTTTTACCTGGGCTGGAAGAAAATCTCATTTCCTCAACATGTTTCGGAATTGTGCTGGGAATACAGGAGTGAATAAAAAAATACAAGTCCTGGGGATATAGGAGTGAATAAAAAAATACAAGTCCATGCTCTTAAGGAGCTTGTCAGCTAGTGGGAGACATAGGCAAGAAACAAATCAACAAATAATATAAACATCAGGATCATGAAACAAAATAAACAGAGACCAGGAAACTGAGGGCAGCAGATGTGCTGTTTTAGATGGGGTGAACGAGGAAGGTGTCTGTGATAAGGTGGCATCCGAGCAGAGACCTGAATATGCAATGGAGGAATCCATGCAGCTGTCTAGGGGAAAACAGGATATAATAGAAGAACATTTCCCTGAACTGAAGAAAGGCATGAGTTTCCAGATTAAAAGGCTACACCAAACAGAGTAGTAATGATAAAAAGAGAAGGAGTCTAGAGTCAGACATATCTTGGTAAAATGTGTGAAATGTGAAATTCAAGCATGGAGCAAAGATCACTCCAAAAAGGCACCAGGCCCAAATAGTTTTATAGACAAGGTCATACAATATTTAACCAATATAATTTATATACTTTCGAGGCCCTTGTCTATACTTGATTATGTAGAAGTAGGGAAGCAATTGCTTTGGAGGAAAAGAACCTTAGAGGTTTTCACTGCTGTGAAGAGAAATCTTCTGTCATCTGTTTTGAAGAGCACCACCTGGCTTTGTTCTCTCCTTCCTGCCATGGAATCTCAATGATAGATTCTCCCTGCTACATTGAGGGAGGTTTGCTTCTTAGATATGGTTTGGGGTAAATGCTGTATCTAGCAGTAGGGCATTAAAGATTGGGCTTTACTTACTCTGAGTGAGTTGGGAGCCACTGGAAGCTTGTGAGTCCAGAAGGGACCTGATCTGACTCAGGTTTTAACAGGACCATCTTGGCTGTTCTCCAATTTCTGGCCAGTGGGGCCTCCTCCATGTGCTGCAGCTGCTAAGGATGTGTCTTTGCTTCCAAGCTTCTTCTGACCTTTTGCTGCAGCTTTTACTAAGAGGATGGGAGGCACTAGGCTGAGAGTGTGTGAGGAGTGAAGACCAAGGGCAGGCAGGGCAGATGGAGAAGTGCTGTGGCTATGCCTGAGCCTGACCTGCCCTGAGACAAAAGGAAGAATAACTGAACTTTACAGGCCTTTATCTCTTCACTTACAAAAATGGGCAAATTCCACTGTTCTTCCCAGGCTAGCCAGGGCTGCTGCAATGCCAGAAGTGGTCATTCCAACTTCTGTGTACTAGAAAGCTTCTCACCATCCTCAACACAAATGTCCTTAAAGCCCTCTGGCTAAACCATGGTTTGGCTCCTGGTGGTAGCAGCAACTGAATCCCTGGCACTGACTTGGTGTACAGAGAGTGTCCCCAAAGGCCTGGTTAAGCAAACCCAGACCCACAGCATTCCAGAGAGCCTAGAAAGGGTCTGGTTAAAAATTCCTGCTTTAGCAATGTCTTCCAGAAGCAGCAGGAGACAATGCTCCCTACCTCCCAGTGCCAGGAGGGGAGAGAAAGGAAGCTGAGTAGGAGAGCTCTGCACAGGTGCCCTGGGGGTGTCTGCAAGATGACCTGGCTCTACCTCTCTACCTGCTCCTTCCCAGCTGTGGGACAGGGCAAGGCTGGTGCCCTCTCTGAATCGGTTTCTTCATCTGTAAAGTGATTGGCTGAGGATCCAGCTGGAGTGTGGATTAGAGGGCACAGCAGGGTGCCTAGTACCAACAGCGCACGTGTTTCTCTTGGGCAAGCCACTCTGAGCCTTACTCTTCCTATCTCTAAGCCGGAACCCAAAAGCTAGCCAGGATTGGTGTGGACTAAGGCAGTCTGTGAACGCTTTTGTAGACTGTGAAGCACTATGTGGTCTTCAGAAAGGTGCCCCAGAGACAAGGTATCATTGGCTTCAGGTGGGGAATCAACAAAACCCCTTAGATAGTCCTAGAGGCCGGGGTGGCAGTGCAGAGCGCGCACACTTTCCAGAGGGTAACTGATTGCCCTGCTGAAAGACCAATACCGTATTTCTCCAAAAATACCTTCTCCTAGGCAAGTCTCCTACTTTATCTGGCACTCAGCAGGGAACACAGCTGCTTGTAACGCGCTGGGGATGAAGGTGGGGTTGTAGGGCAGACCCGGCCAGACAGGCTCCCCAGCGCTCACCCCTCAATCACGCAGACTGCTCTATGGGGCTATCTCAGGGCTTTTCATAAGTCGTGGAGCCCGTCTGCCGTTCTCACCTGGGGACCGAGCTTCAGGAGCCGACCCTCGTGGACGCTGCGAGACCGTGGCGAGGGGTGGAGGCAAAGAGCTGGCTGCGGGCCGGGGACCAGGCAGCGTGTTGGGAGGCTTGCGCGTCGCACAGCTCAGGGATCCCAGCGCTGACGCCGCGCAAGGCCGGGCGCAGCGGGGGCGGGGAGGGGCGGGGCCAGGGTGGGGCGGAGCTTGTGACGCGCGGCGCCGGCCAATGGGGCTCGCGGCCGGGGCCGAGCCTCCTGCGAGCCTTCGCGGCGCCCACGGCGTCACGTGAGCGGCGGGGAGTGAGCGCCCAGCGAGCTGCGGGCGGGCTAGTGCTCCGCCGCAGCGACCCGCGGGCCGGCGGGCTAGCGAGCCAGCGCAGGACCCGCGGCTCGGCCCCCGGCCGCCTCCGGACCGAGAGCCGAGCCGCCGCCCCCAGCCCAGCCCGCCCGGCCGCAGGACCGCCGGGGCCTGGCCGCCGGTCGGGCGTGTGCCAAGTTCAGGTGGGAGAGGCTCGGCGGGGCCGGCCGGCCGAGTGGACGCGGCCCCGGGTGATCAGGGGACTGGCGGGCCTCGGGGCGCGTGGCCGTGCGCCCGCGCAGCTCTCGGAAGCACGGCGCGAGTGCCAGAGGAATATCGGAGGAGCGGGGTGGTCTCCCGCGGAGGGGGGTAGGGGTCGGGCAAGCCCGGGGGAGGTGACCCCCCCCACCCCTGTTGCCCACCAGCACTTTGCTGAGGCCCGCGCCGCCGCCTCGGTGCCTGGCCGGGCGGTTCCGTGGCGCGCCTTGCGGGCCTGCCCTCCCATACGGTGGGCACCAGCGGGGCCTTATGAGAGGAGGGGGCGAGCGGACGCGCCGGCCGGTCCAGGGTTGGGGGCGGAGGGGCTGGAGAGGGAGGGGTTACTGTCGGTCACCGCAGCAGTGGTGGGGGCAAAGGGGGGCGCGGGACGAGGGCATGGTGCCCAGCGGGCAGCGGCCCAGAGCTCCAGGAGGGGTCTGAGCCGGCTGTTCATTTCCCACGCACGTTTGTCTACACGCGCGGACACCCACGGAGGCTCCACGCACGAGCACTTCGCGGACAGCCTCCCGCACAGCCAGAGCGGCCGCCGCGCACCACGCCCCGCACACGCAGTCACACGACAGGAACTCACACCCCTTCACGCACACCCGCCACTGTTCACGCGTCTCACTCTACGCTGAGTCTCCGTCCCCTCAGATCGAACATTACCAAAGCCATGGCTTGGTCGAGGGATGGCCGCGGCGGGGCAGAGAGGCTGTCCCCATTCCATATGGTGGTTCGGTTCACTCTTCCCTCCCCGCCGTGGTGTTACTCATGGAACCCCCCTCCCCCCGCCCCGTCCTACGGAGGGTACAGAGGGGCTGTTTTCTCCCACGGCCCTAGGAGGTGACAAAATCTCCAAATGTCTGGGTACCTCAAATCTCCCTTCCCCTGTCCACCAGGACCAGGTGGCCCCTGGGGAGACCCTGCCGTCCTACAGGTGTGAGAACGCCCGGACTCTGCGACTTTGGGGCCTGCGGGTGGCGCAGGGACCCGGGACTCTTATTTTGAAGGGCGTCCCCCACCACCACCCCCGTGATTTGCACGCTGACCCAATGGCAAGCCCTTGGCCGGCGCTGGGCTTGTTATCAATTACATGTTGTTCCTGCAGCCGCTGTGTCCCCGGGAGGATAAACAGCAGGCCTGGCCGGGCCAGGGGAGGGGGCGGAGTCCGGCGGCCAGCCGGGGACTGTGCCCGGAACAGCGTGTCCCCTCCCCTGCATGCAGTCTGCGCCTCTGGCCGCCCCACGTGCTGCTGTGTTTTAGGGGTTGAGCCGGCTCCAGCCCTAGGGTGTCCTCGCTGATGTCGGTGCCCTGAGCCATCCCAGAGCACTTTCTAGGTTCCCAGTGCCTGGGTGCGTCCCCCTTGAGATGCTCATCTCAGCATTAAGACCCCGTTGCCTGACCTGGGCCACCCAATCCTAGACTCCGCCTCCACCCCCACCCCCTTGGACCTTCCATTCACTCATTCAGCAAATTCTGCTGGGCCCTGTTTTAGACTCTGGGAGACAGCCTTGGAGTGAACAGTCCAGACAGCTGATATTCTGGTGGTAAGGTAGACAGGAAGCAAAGTTCACAACACATAACCAAGATAATTTTCCACAGTGGGACCTGCAGGGAAGAGTGTAATATAGGGTGATGTAACGGGGAGGCCAGGAGGCTCCCACAGGGGTGAATTCTGAGCCAAGATCTAACTAAGCAGCTTGTACCTGCAGTGCTGGGGGAAGAGCCAGGGCAAGGGCCCCCAGCTGAGGCTGAAGTGAGGTGAGCACACCTGGACTAGGAGAGGGGCAGTTTGTGGTGAGGTCTGTAAAGAGTCAGGAGGGCCAAGTACTGAGGTGCTGCCAGGAGATAGGGCCACCCATCCTTGGGAAGCCATTGGAGGGTGTTTTCTTCTAGCCCTTCTACTGTACTTTTTAGTTCACTTTATCTGCCTATATCTATGTCTTTAAAAGGTAAGGCCTCCTTTAACCACAATACCATCATCACAATTAAAAATATGAACAGGAATTACTTCATATCATGGGATGGCCAGTTAGTGATTGTGTTTTAGGGGAGGGCTCTAAGGCCTGCTCTGGGTCCCAGGAGGGCTGAAGGCCCCGTATTCCTTAACATCACAGTAGAGGGGCGGAGACAGCATACTTGCAGTACCTGCAGGCTGACACCATTGGCTGGCACTGGATGAGTGCTGCCAGTGTGCCAGACCCGGAGGGGGGTGCTTAGCAAGCGTCAGCTCATGGGGTTCTCACAACACCTGGGGAACCAGGCATTGTTAGAAGCACCCCTATCTCACAGACTGAGACAGGCGTGGAAAGGCTGTGCACCTGCCCAAAGTCACCCGGAAGACAGCTGCAGACTCAGGAATGGAGCCCTGCTTAGAGGGTGGGAAAGGATTGGGGGAGGCCCAGGGTGGAGTGTGGGCTCTGCCCAGCCTTGTGCCCTTCACAGTGTCTGGCACCTTCATTCCTTCCCAGCACCTGATTTTGTGAATAGGTGCATTTTAAAACACATTCCAGGTTTAAATCCTTAGCTGAGTTTTTGAACCAAAAAGCCAAATGTCCTCCTAGCAAAACTGGCCTGGGGCACAGACCTTGCCTTAGTTTCCTGGAGTTCCATGAAGCTTCCTGGGTAAGTTGGGAACTAAGATCAAAGGTCCTGGGGTCCCTGAGCAGGAAGAGACTTAGAGATCTTTGAAGCATGGAACAGAACTGAGGTTTGGGAAGTGGAGCAAGGACTTGCCCAAGGTCATAGCTGATTATGGTATTGGCCACTGGGCAGTGCTCAGTGCCAGGCCCTGAAGGGTCTGGGAAACAGAAGGGCTGGGTGTAGAGGTGATGGTGGGCAGCAGAGAACCTCTGACTTTGGTGCAGAACATTCCCCTTCCCCAACCTTGATAAACACCCAGCCCGCCGTGGTCATTGAGCAGGGGCAAAGGTTCACAGAAGTGGCCTGGTCAGAGCTGGACACTATTGACTCTTCTTGGACACCAGACCTAGCATGTCCTTTGACTTCAGAGGACATAGCTTTCCCTTCTCTTCTCTATCAAAGTTCTCTTGAGCCCTTCCTGGGCACTAGGGGCCAGTCCAGGCACTGGGAACACAGCAGAGACATGGAGTGCACTGTCTCAGGGAGAGACAGGCATTAGCTGAGCCTTCCCAAGGTGGTGAGTGTCCCAAATGGAGACAGCAGTGGCAAAGGGTGCAGGGGACTCCACTTCCTTATTGGCCAGAAAGGGCTGGGTGGAGGGGGCGGTGGTTATCTCCTCTCCTACTAGGTGGGTGTGAAGTCCAAAGCAGTTATGCACCTGCAGGTGCTCTGGGCCCCTGGTGGTCAGCTGGATTATCACCAGAGGGGCAGAGCCTTGGCCACTAGGGTGCTAAAGCATCAGGGTGCAGGTGAGAGGGTTGCGTTCAAGCTTGTGCCACTCACAGGGCAGTTGGCTCACTGGGGTTTGAGGACTGGAGAGTAGAGGAGCTTTTCCCCTTCAGGTAGGGAAACAGCCATGTGGGCAGGGACTTCTTGGTCTTTGACTGTTTTGCCTCCCTCGGTTCTACACTTGCCCAGTTAAAATGCAGGCAGCCTACTTAAATTTGAACCTCAGGTAAAATAGTTTTTAAATGTAAGTATGTCCTATCCAATATTGGGAACATACTTATATTAAAAGTAGTTTATTTTTAAAATCTGAAATTCAAGTTTAACTGGTGACTTGTATTTTTATTTGCGTAATCTGGCCTCTGGAAGCCCCAGCAACATGACGGTCAGAGGGCAAATGGGTGTTCTACCCCCATTCTGTGACTCAACAGGCGTGAAGCTGAGGTCAGGAGTCCTTAGATGCACAGTGACTCCTTTGGTGTTGGCGGTGGACTGATTCTTCTGGGGTCCAGAGACCCGCCTTGTGCATACCCTTCTCTCATACTCACCCACACTCAGTTGTTCACAGACACATGTGCTATTTTCCAGGATAATTCTGGAAAATTTGTTTGAAACCAGAAGTGCCCCTGGTTGTGCAATGGGATTGGAGAGGTCTCTTTTGCAAACAGGTGGTGCAATTTCAGAAAACACTCTTGCAGGCACAGCTCTCCTGGGGGATGGAGGCAGGATCCAGGCGTTTGGCAGTGGGAGGCTGTGGGCAGGCAGCTGAGGGTGGGGTCGGAGGCCTGCGAGGTGGCAGGTGAGCACTGCCTGACTAGGCCTCCTGTGTTCCTTCCTTGTAGCCAGCACCGGCACGGCCAGGCCAGCATGGTGGACCACTTGCTTCCAGTGGACGAGAACTTCTCGTCGACAAAATGCCCAGTTGGTTATCTGAGTGATAGGCTGGTCAGCCGGCGGGCATATCACATGCTGCCCTCACCCCTCTCTGAAGACGACAGCGATGCCTCCAGCCCCTGCTCCTGTGCCAGTCCCGACTCTCAAGCGCTCTGCTCCTGCTATGGTGGAGGCCCGGGCACCAAGAGCCAGGACAGCATCTTGGACTTCCTACTGTCCCAGGCCACGCTGGGCAGTGGTGGAGGCAGCGGTGCCAGCAGTGGCCCCATGGCCTGGGGGCCCTGGCGAAGGGCAGCAACCCCTGCGAAGGGGGAGCATTTCTGCTTCCCTGAGTTTCCTTTGGGTGACCCTGA